TGTGTGTGTGTGTGTGTGTGTGTGTGTGTGTGTGTGTGTGTGTGTGTGTGTCTGTGTTTGAACTTTTGGGGCTTGCTCAAATATTAACAAACCTGCTTTGTGATCCTATAATGATGTGTGGTTGAGGTGCATCTTAATTATGACTAATTACTAATTACTGGGAGGATTACTAGGCAGGGCCTTCCTTGGGCCAGTACTGCTCATCACAGAGTCTCTCTGTCAGGTTGTAGCATGAGTTCCCAGCTTCCTTGAATGCAAAGGCCTGGGCTTCCTGATCCAAGTCAAAGCACAACAGGGCGATTGTGCCTCTTTTCTAGCCCTTTGCCTTCCTCTCCTTTCCCACAGAAAGACCAGCAGAAGGCGGTAGATATGAGTTCAGAGTGTCACATACAGCTCTTTGTTTTCTTAGGCATTCAGTGGCTTGCTTCAGTCATTCAACAACATGTTAAATGACTGTCACCATAGACAGGTGGTATTTAGGATAGATATTTGGAGGGAGTTTGGAGAACTGGGAGGCTCTCTGCCAGTTGCTAAAGTTCCATCTGATAAGATGTAAATCATTTCCTTTCATGCACAAGTCAGACCACAGAAGGTGGCACTGGCTTCCATCTCCAACAAAGTGGCCTGAAAAGTGCTTTTGCCATTCCTTTGTGTGTGTGTCTGTGTGTGCACCTGCATGTGTGTATACGTGTATGTTTGGGTATTTGCATGTGTATATGAAGGCTAGAGGACAACCTTAGGTGTCATTCTTCAGGAATTGTCCACTGTCTTTTTTTTGGAAGCAGGGTGACTCCCTGGCCTGGAACTTGCCTAAGGATCCACCTGATCCTGCCTCCAGGAACACACCACAAGTGGCTTTTCTTTAGAGATTGGAACTCACACAAAGTGAGTCTTTCCCAGCTGTGCCATCTCCCCAGCTTTCTCCATTCCTTTTGCAGATGATTTCTGCTGTACCTGGACATGGCTCCTCCCTCACATCCAGCACCAACCCAGAACCAATTCCAAGTCAAGTCCTGCAGAGCCCAGGGAATCCGAGCTCTGTCCTCAGGGAGCATACAGTCACAGGAACAATAAAACATGGCAGCTGGGACAACAGTCCCATCAGGGCTGGCTGTGGCAGAACTCTAGACGCTCAACAGTTCCTTGGACTGGTGAGCAGCCAAAACTTGATGAAGTCATACTCCAGGTGTGTCTTGATGATGAAAGGATGAGCATCTGCCAGGTGAACAAGAAGGGACAGGAAGGACTGTCTTGGCAGAGGGATCAGCTTGAGGTTACTAGCTGAGTCAGTAGGTGATGGGGGAGAGATGTTCTGTTCTTCAATTACAAATTATTTTTCTATCTTCTTTTTTGAGACAGGGTCTTGCTGTGTAATCCTGGCTGGCCTGGAACTCGCTGTGTAGACCAGGCTGGCCTCGATCTTACAGAGATCCTCCTGCCTCCAGAGTGCTGGGATTAAATGACTGTGCAACCATGCTTGGCTTCAATTAAAAATCTGAAAAGCCCAAAGCTCCTTAAGAGATGATAGGATATGGAAGTCAACTTAAGAAGAGGCTAAGATGGCTCTGATGTGCAAAAAAAACCCCCAAAAACAAACAAACAAAACCCCCAAAAAACCAGAAAGCAGAAAGCAAAACAAGCCTATGTTTTTTTGGTGATAAAATACTGAGGAAAACAAAGTTGAGAAAAATAAGAAAAGAGAAAAAGGAAAAAAGAAAAAAACCCAGATTGAATTATAAATGGATTTTTATGGTATTTTTTTTAATCTTCCTGAATTTTAAATTTTAAAGTGTCTGTGTCAGCCGCTGCCCACGTATCGCTCCGTCTGCAGGGGGCGCACGGGTCTCTACTTCTCCACCTCCAGACCTATGGGGCGGGGCCTCTAGAGTCGGTATGGATTGACAATTGGCTGACGAGGCTGTCAGTCACGGCATCCCGCCTCCGCGCTACGTCACATGATGCAGCCCATCATGGCGGCGGGAGCGCGGCTGCACGGGCCCGTGGCTCCGCAGGGTGGCTGCCGTTGCTACTGTTGAGAGGCGGCGGCGCAGACGGAGCGGGAAGGATGATGGTTCTGCGGCCGGAGCGGCAGGTGCGGACCGGGAACGAAGCAGAGGTTTGGCCGAACAGACTTTTGTCCCGAAGCAGCCGGCACGGGTGTCGCTGAGGCAGCCCGGAGGACGGACAGACGAACGGACTGACTGACTGCCTGGAGGCGGCGACCTCAGAGCGGGCCCGGGGGCACCGCGCGGCGAACGAGATGCCCGGGCCGCCGCCGCCGGTGCTGCTGCTCCTGCTGCTGCTGACTGTCGGCAATGCCGGGGCTGTGCCACTTCCGCAAACAGGTGCAGGTGAGCGTGGACCCGGGGGCTGCGGGGCCGCTGCGGCTCTCGGGGTGCGGGGCGACGGCGGTCCGGCGGGGCCGGTGTCCTCTCTGAATGGCTGGGAGGCCAGGAGGCCGCGGGAAGCGGGCGATCGTGGGGAGATTGCTTGCCGCAGGGGCGTGGGATGGGGGGCGGGGGCGAGGTGACGCGATGGGGGTGGGGACGATCGCGGGGCGCGAGGTGACAGCCACTGAAGCCTCCCTATCCCCGGGGGCTCGTTCTCCTCCGAACCTGTTGCCTCTAGGTCGATCCCTCTAGGTCGGATCCTTCAGCACACTCCTTCCCCTCCAGATGTCACCTGCCTTGTGCCTTTTCTCACATCTTAAAATAAAAACCGTTTCTTAGCTCTCGTCATGACTTCAAAGAAGCCCAATGACTTGGAGCTATGCGGAGTTTTCTTGGCTCTCTGAAACTTGTACTGAAGTTGTAAATTGATTTTTAGATGCTGTGGTTATTTTATTACTATTATTATTCCGAATGAATCTCAGGATGAGAAGGAAGCAGCAGTAAATATTTCTATTTTAGGAAGCCAGTGATTGGAGTAGCAGCTTTTGACTAACTATTGACAAATTGACCCAAGGGTAATTGAAATTTCTATTTTAGCCACTCCAGTGTGATTCTCTGCTCAAGCACCCTTCCCTTCCATATTTTCTCTGTATAATTTTAATTTGGAGTTTATAAATTGAACTTCAACCAAAGAAAGGATTTCAGTTTTTGTAAGGAAAAAAAAAAATTAAAAAAAGAAGCAGGCATGGTGGCCTTTAATCCTAGCACTTGGGAAGCAGACACAGGAGGATCTCTGTGAGTTCAAGGCCACATAGCGACTGGTCTACATAGCGACTTCCAGGACAGCTGGGGCCACAGGAGACTGTCTTCAAAAAGACAAAAAAAAAAAAAAAAGAAAACCAAAGAAACCTAGGCTAAGTTCCCATCATTCTTGCTATGGGGAGTTGAAATTTCATAGTTGAAACCTTAAAAATAATTTCTAATTTCTTCATCTTGCACTTGGAGATATTGGGACCTTAGTGATCAAAGGACCTACCCAAAGTGACACAGCTAAGTTGTAATTTGGATTCTAAATGTAGATTTAGATTCAGCTCCTGGTGTGATTTTTGTTGTTGTTGTTATTGTTGTTGTTTCCTCCCTAGTTCACCTCAAGTCTTGTAACTGTCTATGGAATGCCCCTGAGGTCAAGAGTTATTTTGGAATAATGCAGTCCAGACACATTTTTCAAACAAATCTACAATGAAAGAGAGATGTAATTGCTTCTGGAGCTATACTAGCTTATAACACTGAATGCTTTTAGTTGAGTGTTAAGTGATGTGATTGTACCATATAATGTAGCGCTATATTTCTGCCATCGCCTTAGAATCAAGTGTCTATAATGTGAATTATGTATTCTGATCTAATAGATAAGATAGTTGAAGGTCGTCAGAAGTAGATTGGGCGGCACAGAAAGTACCTGGGAACCTGGGAAAGATTGTACAGAAAGGTATGTAAGGATATGGACATTAACATAGAGGATGAGCATTGGAGCAGCAGTTTGTATCAAGGGATTCTAGATGCTTCCAGAAGATTTTGCTCCCTTTTTTTTGAACCAGGGTCTGACTATATGGCCCTGGCTGACCTGGAACTTGCTATGTAGACTAGGCTGGCCTAAAACTTGCAGAGGTCTGCCCGTCTCTGCCTCCTGAGTGCTGGATTAAAGGCATGGCCAATTACTCTCCTACTGATTTTTCAAAAAAAAAAATTTTTTTTTTTTGGTCTTTTTGAGACAGGGTTTCTCTGTGGCTCCAGTTGTACTGGAGTCACTATGTAGACCAGGCTGGCCTTGAATTCACAGAGATCCACCTGCCTCTGTCTCCTGAGTGCTGGGATTAAAGGTGAGCGCTACCACACCCGGCTTCAAAATGTTTTTTTTTTGGTCTTTTTGAGACAGGGTCTCCCTGTAGCCCCAGTTGTCCTGGAACTGACTATGTAGACCAGGCTGGCCTTGAACTTACAGAGATCTGCCTGCCTCTGCCTCCTGAGTGCTAGGATTAAAGGCGTGCGCCCCCACGCCCGGCCTCAAAATATATTTTTATAAACAGATTTTATGTAGGAACCTGTTGTGCATGTGTCTGCCTGTCTACCTTCTCCACGTCTTTTATTCTATTTTTGCACCGTTTTATGCAGATAGGGATTATAGGAAGTTGAGTTTTGTTGGGTGTCATAGAACAAAGTAACTTGAAAAACATGAATTCATGAGTAGAAATATCAAATTTTGACATAAATGAACTCCCTGTCCAAAAAAATACTTGGTAATTTGTTAGTAACTTTTTTTTTTTTTTTTTTTTTTTTGGTAGGATCTCACTATGTAGCTCTGGCCTGGAACTCATTGTGTTATCCAGGATGGTCTTGAACTCAGAGTTCTGCCTGCCTGTGCCTCTTCAGTACTGCCGTGTAGCAACTTTTTTGTTTTTGACACAGGGTCTCCCTGTATTCCCATCTGGCCTGGAACTCACTACGTAGAAGACCAGGCTGGCCTCAATTTCACAGAAATTCACTTGCCTCTACCTCCCAAGTACTGGGATTAAAGGCATGCACTACCATGCCTGGCTTCCATGTTGTAACTTTTGCAGAATTTTCCTTTCATATTTTGATTCTTGGAAGGTAGTGGGTGGTTTAAATGCATGACAGGATTAACAGGTATCTGGTGTTCAACTGAGTAGAAATGGTGCGTTATCAAATGTCAGACACAGATGTAGGGACTTGTCTTTCCATCCAAAAGAGCTGACTGATACTGTAACTGGGATAGGTTTTTTTCTGTGCTAGGGATTGAATTTGGGATCTCACACATTCCAGGCAAGCACTCTATCATGAAGCTTTAGCCTCCAGCTCTGGGATAGCTTTCTAGATCAAGAATAAAGAAACCTTTGAGCTACTTCCAAGTAGTGAGTTCATTGGTTAAGAAAGAAGAACCAGTCTTGAACGTATATGGTAGGTAAAAGAGCAGCAATACATTGAAGATGTAATTGAAGCTTCTGATGAGCCAGGGGCCCATACTTCAAAGACAGGCTAGTTCTTTCCAAGTAAGGGTAGACCCAGTGCATAGAATCTTTGCCCTCCTTGCTCATATTCTTTCTAATGGCACCTTGGAGAAAGCATGATTCTCAGAAATAGGTTGGGAGGAAAAATACTTGAAGCCAGGTATGGTGATACACATCTGTAATCCTAGCATTCAGGAGGCAGAGGCAGGAGGATTGCTGCAAGTTCAAGGCCACCTTGGCTACCTAGCAAGTTCCAGGCCAGACAGGGCTATGTAGCAACATCCTTTCCCAAAAAACAACTGACAAGAGGCTGGAGAGATGGCTCAGTAGTTAAGAACACTGGTTCTTCTTTCAGAAGACCAGGGTTCAAATCCCAGCACCCACATGGCAGCTAACAACTGTACATAATTCTAGTCCCAGGGGATATGACAGCCTCTTCTGACCTCCGCAGGCATTGCACGACACGGGGCACTTACCTACATGCAGGCAATATTATTCACACATACACACAAAATAAAAATAATAGTAAATAAATTTTAAAAAACAACAGAAGCTGGGCGTGGTGGTGCACACCTTTAATCCCAGCACTCAGGAGGCAGAGGCAGGCAGATCTCTGTGAGTCAAGGCCACCCTGGGCTACATAGCGAATTCCAAGACAGCTGGGGCTACAGGGAGACCCTGTCTCAAAAAGACAGACAAAAATAAAAAAGAAAGCATGAGGCTTTGTCCTTTGCCTATTTGCAGGGGAAACGAGGGAGTGAAATTCAGCTTTTATTTATTTCTCTACTTTTAAAAAAATTTTATTTTTATGTGTATGTATGTATGTACTGCCTGCATGTGTATAAGTGCACCCATGTCGTGCAATGCCTGTGGGGGACAGAAGAAGCTGTCAGATCCTCTGGAAATGGAGTTACAGACAGTTGTTAGCTGCCATGTGGATGCTGGGATTCAAACCCCGCTCTTCTACAAGAACAGCCAGTGTTCTTAACCGCTGAGCCATCTCTCCAGCCCCTCTTTACTTAATTTTTTAGGTCAGGATAAAAAGTAATGGATTTCTTCATGACATCTTTATATATTTATATAAAATGCAATTTTTAAATTGAAGTTCATTTGTGCAAGATGGTTTTTTCATTCAGAGTCATGAGTAGTTTGGAAGTTTAAAAGGTGTGGTTACTCACTGAATCATAGTAAAACTATGAAAATATTGGGTTGCCCCTGTTCATTGGACTAGATGACTTTTGTTTATTCTTTCTTTTTCTCCCCCCCCCTCCTTTTTTTTTTCAATTTTGGAGACCCGGTATCTCTTGTGGACTTGGAACTCTCTATGTAGACCAAACTGGCCTCAAACTCAGAGATCCACCTGTCACTGCCTCTGTCTCCTGAGCGCTGGGATCATGTGTGCCACCATGCCTAGCTTCTCTTCCTCTTATTTTATTTTTAAAAATATTTTATTTAGGCCAACCTAGTCTACATAGTGAGTACCAGGTCAGCTGGGTCTGCAGGAGACCCTGTCTTAAAAAGACAAAAAAATTATTATTTTTATTTTATGTGTATGAGTGTTTTGCCTGCATGTAGGTAGGTACACCCCTGTTGTACGGTGCCCTTGGGGGTCAGAAGAGGGTGCCAGAGCCCCTGGAACTGGAGTTATGGACAGTTATTATGTGGGTGCTGGGAAACGAACTTGGGTCATCTGTAAGAGCAACCAGTACTCTTAACCGCTGAGCCATCTCTGCGGCCTTGTTTTATTTTATTTTATTATATTATTTTATTTTATTTTTTATTTATTTTATTTTATTTTTTGAGACAAAGTCTTGCTGGGTAACCCATGCTGGCCACTAACTCTGGATCCTCCTACCTCACCCTCTGGCGTGCTGGATTATCGGCATATACACACTATGTCTGACCTCAGAAGACGTTTCTTTGTTGAATTTTATTTGA